TCATTCTGCTTGTATCATATTGAAAAATGTGTACTCAGTTACTCATTACAAACCACAATGTATTTTGTGGGAGATTTTTAGGTCTTGTGTAAGAAATCTAAAAATGGAAATGATGAAATTTTCATTGAAATTGAAATAGAATGCCTAGCAGTTACCCCTAATGGAAATTGTTTTTGTCCCCTGCCTTTCCAGGGAATTTAACATACTACTTAAAGATACACTATAGGAGATTCGATAACGAGTTGGCAGTTTTCACTATAATAGTTAAAAAATAGATAATGTAAAGGCAATTTTCTGAAAATCAAGGCTAGCCTTGATAATCATTACTAAAGTGAGTACGATAAACAGCATAGTCTCGATTATCCATTTAATCGTTAAATCGTGAAGGAAAGTTATGCAGTAAATCGGCTCACAATCCACTAAAGATCACAGGCTAGCGATGCCATCTAGAGTTGATTATGGTCTGGATAGGTTAATTAATGTCTAATTTAAATAATTTAGATAATATTTCAGGCCTAAAGAAAGACCTGCAATAGACAGATTTAGCTCTTGCATAATGTATGTTTAAGTCCCAAGGCAACCATGAGGTGGGAACTCAAGCCTGACTTAAGTCACATTAAAGACCCTATTTGCAACTATTTATTGCGACTCGAGACTTGCCTCAGATTTGGTAGTCACAGGGAGGGGACATAATCCTAACCTGCCTTATTTGCCATGATATTTCTATAAATTGTTCTACAAAATGATTTTTTCTTGTGCTGTTTTAGTCTAGTAAAGGGCAGTCCACAACCAGAAAAAAAATACAATAAACAAGCTATTTGGGGCATATTTTAATATGTATTGTAAGACTTAACATTAAAAACATCATTCATGAACAATTAAAGGATTGCTAAGTTGGATTTTTTTGTGATATAACCATTTGAATAATTTTTTTTAATTTGTTGAAAAGTTGACCGGCACCTGTGGCATTAGAGTGGTAGATTTTTGTCACAAAGAGTTACTATACTTAATTACCTCAGTTCCAATTAGAGAGAGATCTAATAATTTAGCCTTTAATAATGAATGCTCTTGTTTAGTAAGATGTTCATATAAAAAAAAAAATTAAAAAAAGCTGATGTGAGAACTACTAGATATTCAATAACGATCCCCCTTCGATGAGATTGGAGAAACGGCAGTGATACGAAGTTAGTGTAATGGGGAGAGGTAAATACAAAGTAAAAGATTCATATGAGTATACAGCACTGAAATTAACCACAGTATATGGCATAACTGTGGTAAAAACCTAAGCAAGCACAAGCTGCTACGACAAAATAAAAAAAAATGTGCAGTAGTTGCGCACAAGTTCACATAATCAAGTGATATTGTTAAAAATATGTTCAGCGCTATTTAAACATCTCGACATGGATTGTGAATCTCTGAATCGAGCTGTCTTCAAAGCTAGGAATCCTGGTAGATATTAAAATACAATAATAATTTGGGTCATACATTTGATGGTTTCTTTGATCAGCTGTTAGGTAAATGTAAATAGTCATTGAATAATCCCGGAGCAGAAAACCAAATATCCCGATAAACAGCCATTAAATAATATATTTTTCCGACACGATCTCCAGGGTTAATTAACAATGACACGTGAAATGCATAGGTCACAATTTTTCAATAGCATACATCCTTGGGCCACAATTGGAATTTAGTATTTCAGGCTTAATTTCAAAAATATTCAAGACTATGGCATTTTCAGTTAGGCCTACGGTTGTCTGTTCGGAACACAAATAAATAAAAGGTTGAAGGGAAAGAGTTTAAACAAATTTTGATAACTTTATATAATACTGTACTTGTGATTAGAGATACAAGAACGCCACTACTAAAACCGTTGAGGTCATCTGATGGTTTTGTTGAGAATATATACCGGTTCTACATTGATTTGCACTTGTCAGAAATTTATAAATAATTACTATTTCAGGCATAATTTAAATGTTTGCCCATCGGGGACTGTTTGGTCAGATTGCTCAAATCAAAGGACATGTTGTCATATCAAATCAGATCATCAGTCAGTGGTTGCCGATTATTTTTTTTATTTGCTCTCATCGCTCTCCAAAAGAATAAATAAACCAACAAAAATGAATCATAAATAATCATTCTTATTTTAATCATACAAGTCTGGTTAATCAAGACTACCAAAGATACATTTCGTTCAGTTAACTTCCGGTCCCAAATTTTTGTTCGGTATTTAGAAAAAACATGAGCGGGGAATGGGGTTTATCGTCCACTCGACACAAACTAGGTCATTTCGGGATGGTCCAATTTTATTTCAGTAATTCGCTTGCACGTATGGGTCATGAGCAGTCGGAGGACCTGGAGGAAACCCACGAGATTGGACAGGCAACCCTACTTCTTGTCACGTACAAGCAGCGAATCAAAACCACGCCTCTTGACTCAATAAAAGGCCTTTTGATTTTAAGCACATGTGTTAAACCACTAACATGATAAAGAGTCTTCCGTGGAAAAGGGTAATTATACGCCCACATTTTCATGTGGACGTATTATGCCGTCGTCCCTGTCCGTCCGGACGTCCACAATTGTTTGTGGACTCTCTACAGGTCACAATTCTTATCCTATTTTGACGAAACTTGAAATATAAGTTTATAACCAAAAGATCTCTTTTCTTTTCGATAAATCGCGTTTTTAGCTTGTGGACCCTATAGGGGTCATGATTTTTATCCAATTTAAAAAAACGTATTATTATATCACCGTTACTCCCTAAGGACGGCTGAGTTTGAATTTCGTGAAAATCGGCCCAAAACTTACAGATAAAATGGCCGCCCTTCATTCTCAAATAGCGTAAAAATATGGTATATCAAGGTTGTGGACCCTATAGAGGTCACAATTTTTATCTGATTTTGTTGAAACTTGAAATGTAAGTTTATAACATAAAGATCTCGGTTCCTTTCGATATTTGCAATGAGATAGTGAAGTGGAAAAATGATGACATAATGAATCTTGCGAAATAGGCGAGATAAAATTTCAGAAGGGACACATTATATGTAATATACTGAGGTATTAATTTTTAGGGGACTGGACATGGTGGGGGGGGGTCTGTTTTCGCCGAGGAGCCCCACCCCCACTGTGCCACTGTTCGCATATGCTATAGAACAGAAAATGTGGGATAAAATTCTCAAATCAATACTTTATATTTCAAATTGTTTTTGTGCCTCTTTAAAATGTGTAACCAAAACTAAATATACCTGAACAAAAAAAAGACTTAAAGTAGCAAAGTCTCTAACTCGATATCATCCAAAGTCTTCGATATTGAAAACACAAATTATTTGTCAATTTAAATCAACATTGATGTTGCAATCTTACCGGGAAAAGATGAGCTTAAGATATCCAATATTTAAGACAAATTAAACATTTAACCATTGGTACACGAAACGTGTACCATAATGCATTTCTGCGCCATTTGTAACAAGGGGCTTGAGGAACGAGGCTAGACATATTCCACAAGTCATGTCAAATAGTGAGGTCATATTCTTATCTGGAGAGCATGCCCAATAAATAATATTGCCATTTGATTGTGACTTCTGGCGTATTTAGCCGAACATAACTGATTTGAAATTAGAGTAAAAACGGAAACGTTTGAATGTAAATAAGTTTATATACATTCATATTACATTATTATATGCATTGCGACCCATTTGTGTCATTTTTTAGTGATTTAGCTCACTTAATTAGTTATATTTACAACAAGAAAATAGAAGTTGAAGTAACAGTATAATTCTATAAGTACCTTAATATACATGTTTCTATACAAGTTGTGAAGTGAGTACGACATGGTACAGCCACAAGCAAATATACTGCAGGACTTGTTAGAAAATATTTCACATGTTTGCTAAAATAACTAGACACTTTGACCCAAGTGTTATCCATCATTTATACATTTTTTTTTCCTAATGTGTTTATAGGTTGTCTATTTCTGTAGGTTTCAAACAATTTATTTTAATAGTTATTAATAAAAATAATTTTTTTAAAATAATTTTATTTTTATACCCCAACATTAAAATAGGGTTATATATTGTTGTCAGTTGTTGGGATTACGTTGGTCTGTCATTCAGATTTGCTTCTGGAGATTCTAGAGGCGAAAGTTATCATTCGATTGAATTCAGAGTTATCATTTGACTGACTTAGAATTAAATACACAGGACATATGTTCTTAAGACAAGGGGATCACGTGGCTAAGTGGGTAAGGCGCTGGCTCGCTAGCCTGGAGGTCGGGTGTTCGATCCCTGCATTGGCCGAGAAAGTTCATCTCGATTTTCCGGCGTGGTTTCCCCTTGTCAGTGATGCAGAACGGAGGGCCTGCCAAGGACAGCTGCCTAGTCGTTCGGATGGTACGAAAAACCGAGGTCCCGTGTACACATTGGCGTGCACGTAAAAGATCCCTTGGCAGTTGGAATTCGATATAAGAGTAGGCCGTAGCGCAGCTGCCCGGGCAAAATTTCCCTCATAGCACACTGTATGGCGTATGCCCGTCTTCAATTAGCCCAGGTTAGGTGCAGAAGAGTAGGACGTTAAACCCCATTTCATTTCATTTCATTTCATTTTCTTAAGACAAAGAAGCCTATTGAGTTTCTATTCTACAATTTCCTAAAAATACTATCAGACTTCTTGCCCTTGATCCAGAAAAAGCTAATTGATTTTTGATGAATTTCAATAACTTGAATAACTAAAGGTATTATCTCTAGTACATGTTTCATATAATAAATTGTTATCCCCCAATACACTGTACATACATCCAGTAATGTAATTTGAGGAATGGGGAGGATAACTAGGCCTACTAATTAGGCTCAAGCATCAAGCACCTTTATTGCAAAACAAGGTGTGCTACCTCACGAACATGGGTAATTCTGAAGTGCAAATAAAGTTTGTGAATCAAGCTAATCTTGTATTCATCCATTCTTGAAATGGTTTTAAATGTAATTTAGATCTTTTTCTTTTCTTTCCAGAAAGATATTCTAATAGAGTTAAAACATTCTAAAGAATTTGGAGGCAATCTGTAAGTTTATCGTATATTCATTTTCAATAACAATATTTCTATACCATTTATTTGATACATATTTAAGATTGAATACCAGTATTAATGCTCTAAAAGCCTGTCTTCATTCGCCCAGTCGGAGCAGAATAGTAGGACATTACATGTAAATCTCATTTTATTTCATTGCTCTAAAGATTCTAATTCCAGTATGAGTTGATTTTAGGGATATCTGGTTATTAAAACTGAAAATGATGTCAAATTTCTATGCAATGAAATTGGGTTTATTAACATCTTACTTTTCTGCACCAATTTGCATTTATCATGGTATTGTGAATGATAATATACATTAGACCTTTGTTGTTTGTTCCATCCTGAACAACTCGACACTTTTCTTATACAAAACTTTTATGATGTATTGTCAAATGGTATTCAAAAAAGATAATTACCATACAAATTATTAAATATTTAACTACTTCTGTTTTGCAAACTGTTATTCATGGATGTATGCAGACTTGCCATATTTCTGTCTTTGGCATAAAAGCCCAAATTGCTTCAGAATTAAAGTTGGAAATCTCACCCAAAGATTTGAAAATGGTTAGAAACTGTTATGTATTTGTTAAGATATGAATTATGAAATGAACTTCAAATTACTGATTTGTTATAATGTTCATTACAGATATCGAGGAACAAGTGAATTTAGTGCACCACCAGAAACAGTATTTCAATATGTAGATCCACTTCCAGGAGATGCTCCCAGGTTAAAATGGGATAAAGGATTGAAGAAAATTGAAGTTTTAAAGCAAATATCCGATGTAAGTAATTTCCTGCTTTCACAATGACAGAGTGCCCAGCCCAGACCATAAGATGGGAGTGATTTACATGTAATTAATAGCCAAATGTGGATCAAGTACATATTCTGGTCTACAAGCAATGCAAACCATTAAATTTGATCCCACTTACATACTGGATCAACCATGCTTAGTCTCCAGGTTTTCTTGTTTCCTCCCACTGTTGAACTTGCTTGTGCACAAAATTCATGGTTCCAAAATGATTTCCTTTTCCTTTAAGAGCTTCTCAAACCTTTCATGAAAGTCATAATATCATCTTTCTTGTCTCCTGAATAAATTGTGGCATGTGATTTTGAGATAACTGTGTTTCTCTCTGTAGAATTTCATATTTGTCGAAGCTCAAAATTTTTCAGCAAATCTTTACCCAAATATTTAAGCCTTTTGCGTCATGTTTATTTATCTTTTGATTGAAGTTATAGAGAAACTTGTAACCATTAAATACATACATAAACAAAGGGTGTTGGTAAGGGGTGGTAAATATATATCTTATAGTAAACATACAAACAAATTGCAGATGACACCCATAATAATTAACATTCTGAGGTATTTGCATGAGTCAAAAAATGAAAACTCAAATCTGTGTAAATGAAAATTCATCGATACACAACATATGTTATTACTGTAAAAAATGTCTGGGATATTTAGCTTTGGAGTTGGTATATATATGCCATAACACCTGAGATTTCCTACAATAGTACCAGGTATTATAAAATGTCTTTAAAATGCGCGTACCCGGTACACCTATGGCTGTGTCTCCCATACATGATGAACAAGGCCAATGTGAACACGATAGCCCTATGTCTGCAGTAGATTCTGGCGATAATTCTGATGTTGATAATAATGCTGGACCGTAAAAGACGTAGGCAATTTCCGGGTCTCGAATGTGTAGATCTATTGACTGACTATATTGATAATGATATGGGACTTGGGGGTGAAATTGATGGTGAAAACAAGGTATTGCAGTCCGCACAGTGGTTATGGCAGCGGGAGACGTTGTCCGCGTGTTTGTGGTGGCATTTCTCGTGGCCACTAATGATATTTTTGTTCATTTTATATATCTTTATCAAAATCCAGTAAAAAACAATATCCCATAAGTATTTCATGGAGAAAAATTTGTTTTCGTCTTAGCTTTAGTGAGAAATGAGAAATCCAAAATGGCCACCATGACGTCACATGACTAAATGATTATGCAAATTTGCAAAATTCTATTTTTTTGTCTTAGCCCAACCCCATGCCCATCCCCATCCCAACACACAAAAAGAATTTCCATAAAAGCTTCCATAAGTACTGTTTGGCATTTATTTCCAAATCCCCTTTTTTCCTCAAAAAAGGGTCTAGCACAGGCAGTGGAAATACGTCTAGCATTGAAAGGGTTAAATGTATATGACTGTCTAAGTGTATGCATGCTGTCCTTAATGGACGTTTTGATGCAATAAATATCTTATCTTTTCTTGGGATAAAATGTAGGATTTATCACAAGATCTGTCATTAAGTCAAGAAGCTGTGGTTTAAGTCTCCTTGTACATGAAAAGGAGTAATATCGCTCACCTAACCTCTTGTGTTTTCTTTGTGTTTTGTCCTACTGCTCAAAATAGGGAAATAAAGATATACCACATTAGTCCCAAAATAATGACCATTTAAAAGGACCATGTTTCTCTGGATGCTGTAAGTCACCATTCAATCTGTATGAAATTTAGATGCATTATTGTCCCCCCCGAAAATGGGTTCGTCCGTCTGTCTGTCTGTCCGTCACACTTTTTGGGACACAATAACTCTCTTTCTAATTGAGCTAGAATGTTCAAACTTGGTGTAGGTGTTTATTAGGTCAATACCTTGATGGAGTTCGAAGATGAGCATTTTCCGCTTAGGGTAAGCGGAGATAAGCAATTTGATTGGTTGATATTTGGGACACGATAACTTTAGTTCTAATTAAGTGAGAGTGATGAAACTTGGTGTATAGTTTCATTACATCAATACCTTGACTAAGTTCGATAATGAGCATTTTCTGCTCAGGGTAAGCAGAGCGATAAGCAATTTGATTGACCAAGATTTTGGAACACAATAACTCTCCTTCTAATTGAGCTAGAATGTTCAAACTTGGTGTAGGTGTTTATTGGGTCAAGGCCTTGATGGAGTTCGAAGATGAGCATTTTCTGCTTAGGGTAAGCAGAGATAAGCAATTTGATTGGTTGATGATTTGGGACACAATAACTTTAGTTCTAATTAAGTGAGAGTGAGGACACTTGGTGTATAGCTTTATTACATCATTACCTTGACTAAGTTCGATAATGAACATTTTCTGCTGAGGGTAAGCAGAGCGATAAGCAATTTGATTAGTCGAGATTTGGAACACAATAACTCTCCTTCTAATTGATGGGCCGGTCACACAGGCTTCCGCGAGTTGATCACGTGTAATTTTGCTATAAATTTTGCAAATTTTTTCTACACGCGGTGAAAATCAACCAATTTGTCTCAGACATGCTGGACACGCGAATGACAAGTGGACCACACGCGCGCGTGTGCATCGCGTGTCCACCACGAGTCCTCCGTGTGTGAGCGCTTGTGGTCAGAAAATGGGGTCACACGCAGCGCGTGTGTATCACTTGTGCTCCACATGTGCTCCGCGTGTGAATCACGTGCCGATCACTTGTGCTCCGCTTGCCGCCCGCGTGTATAAAAGCCGCCGCGTCCGGTGTTCTGGATCAGTATCGATCAATATTCCGTAGAGTAAAGATCAAAATCATGGCACCGAAATCAAAGAAGGGCTTGCTGAACCTGAAGTAGCTGGTTCTGATGTTGCTGGAACAGCATAACCAAAGCATTACGATGCGCCGGATCCATGTTGCCTCTTCAACGTCTTGATCACAACTGATGAAAAATGGCCCACACGCGATCTTTTTATAGCAGAAATAACTAGTGGTACAAACGAGATTGGGTCGTGGACGACACGCGAATCAGTCGTGGTTCAATCGCGATTCAACGCGAAAACACGCGAATGGCCCGCGGATGACTCGTGACACAATCCCTGAGGAAGCCTTTTACACGTGGAGCACACGCTATCACAGGTGGTAGGAACGCTGTAGACACGCGGATCACAAGTGGATGACAAGTGCTACACACGCAGTCACACGAAGAAATTTTGCGTTTGCCCGCGAGTGACCACTTGTCGTCCACTTGTGATCCGCGAGTGTACCACGTGTTATCGCGTTTGGCCCGCGTTTGTACAGCGTTTACACCACGTGTGCGACACGCGGTGGCCGTTGCGCCTAATTTTTGTGCTGCTCAAAAATAAAATCGGACTCCGTGCGCGTGTAAAATTTTTCGCGCGTGTGCGCACTTGTTATTCGCGAGTCCACCACGTTTCATTCACGTGTCATTCACTTGTGACCGCGCTTACTTCGCGTTTGACAGTTCTTCCTCGCGATACACTCGTGATCAACTCGCGGAAGCCTGTGTGACCGGCCCTTGAGGTAGAATGTTCAAACTTGGTGTAGGCATTCATTAGGTGAATCGCTTGATGGAGTTCGATTATGAACATTGTCTGCTTACGGTAGGCAGAGATAAGCAATCTGATTGGTTGATGCCTTAGGGGCACGATAACTTTTGTTATAATGAAGTGAGAGCTATGAAACTCTGATTATAGATTCATTATATCATTACCTTGACTAAGTTTGATGGTGCGAATTTTCTGTCTGGGCTAAGGAGTGATAAGCAATTTGATTGGTCAAGACTTTGAACATAAAAACTCTGCTTTTAATTGTGGTAGAATGTTTAAACCTGATGTAGATGTTCATTAGGTGAATGTCTTGACTGATTTCAATGATTATTATTTCAAGCTAAAGCTAAGCAGAGCTAATCAATTTCATTGGTCGATGCTTTGGGACAAGATAATCTTGATTCTATCTGATAGAGAGTGATGAAACTTAGTGTATAGTTGATAATCAGTTTGATTGATCGATCCCTTTGAAAAAAATAAATGTGGGATTAATTAATATGTGTCATCTATTTATTTTGGGATTTCGGCGGGGGACATCAGCCTCCCTGTTGGCTTGTTTAGATTAGAGAAGCAAAGAAGCCTGTTGAATTTCAACAATGCCTGTTGATTACTTCTAGAGTTATAGCCCTTATTTCACTTTGTAGAACCTTGTGAACACTCTAACTGTAATGACAAAAGTTATCATTTGATCTGTATGAAATTTATATGCATTATTTGAATTTGTGGAATGAAGAAACCTGTTGAGTTTCAGCAAAAACATTATGTATACCCTCTCAAGATTTTGCCTTGTGGGCTGCATCGACGACTTATCTACTTTTGTCATACGTATGTTGATAAATTTGATTGGTTGAGACTTTTTGATTGAACACAATAACTCTTCTTTTAATTGTGGTATAATGTTTCAAATGGTGTAGATGTTCATTAGGAGATTGTCTTGACTGAGTTGGTTGATGAGCATTTTCAGCTTCCTGGTTTATTTGTAGATGCTAAAATGGACCATGTTAACTCAGTTTTGAATTTAGGAAGAGTGATAAAACTTTGTGTATAGTTTCATTACATCAATACCATGACTATATTCAATTATGGTCTTTTTCATAATATCCTATTCAGTTAATACAAATACAGCAGTTTGTTCAGACAGTTGCTCAAAGATAGAATAAAGGTTTGCACCCTATTAAATGGTTTTATTTACGAAAATGTATCTGGGACTGTTCCTTTAATGGCCTACTTTGTCTCTCTCTGTATTTATAGTGCAGTATTCAACACTTTCTTTTTTTCTTTTAAAAATGGAAACATTTCATATCAATATCTGTGCATGAAATATTTTTCATTCCAGAATATCTTTTTTCAATTTTTAAACAGTTGAAAAATGTCTGTGAATATCCTAAACAGATGCCCCTGCTAGTTTTGAACATAACAGAGTTATAAGAATTATGATTTATGGGATAAATAGGTTCAAAGATAGTAA